ATTTGGCCTCTACTAATTAGGAAATAACTTTCTATTTCTTAGTTATCATCTTATGAATTTTAACACCTCTGTAACTTAGTGAGCATACCTCACTTAAATCTAAATGTTAATCAGAAGCATTACCTTCTTCCCAAACATTGGAAAAATCAGTGCATGTTTAAATCTAATTATGTTCCTCCTGATAGATGGGCTTTTTTTGTTCACAAATGTAGCTCAGCATTGAGTTTCTTAATCCAATAATTATCTAGTTTATTATTGTTTTGTGTAGTCAGTGTTTTTACATTTAGCCACTTATTTTCCTTTTTTATGCTTTTAAGTGTTACTGATCTTCCTTTTTGCTGTATACATAGATCTCTTTTTAGAAACATTTTTCTTCTTACTACATAAATTCCTTTTGACAGGAACTTCAGTGAAAGTCTCTTAGTAAATTCAATTTGTTTTTATCTGAAAGTCATTATTTTGCTTTTGTGAAAAGATAACTGCAAACATGAGATTATTTACTCTTAGTACTTTAGAGATAATATATCATGAATTGATTCTTGGTGCTGTTAAGTCAGATCTTTTATGAAATTACATTTTATATTTCATTTTTACTTTAAATGATACATAATATTGGTACATATGAATGGGGTATGGTGAGATAATTTTATGCACGTATACAGTGTATAAATATCACATCCAGGTAATTAGCATTTCCATTTCCTCTAGCATTTATCATTTTTATGTATGATAGCCTTCACACTCTTACAGCTATATATAAATATTTATGAATTTTTTCAGCCTGACTTAGCCTATTGTGCTGTAGAACCCTCAAGAAAATTCTTCCTGTGTTCTTAAATTTTCTGTCTTTGAAGATAGTGTCTCTTTTCTGACCACTTTTAAGATCTACCACCTTTTGCTTGTATTCTGCAATTTCTTGTCAGTCCTATCTTGTTTGGAATTTTTTGAGCTTGCTTAATCTAAAAATGACTTTCAGAATTCTGCAATTCCTCAGTCACCTCATCTTTTTCTTACTGTGTTTTCCAAGCATTCCCAAAAGTCCATCTTGTTCTTTCACCTGTATCATTTAATGAGTCTTCTTGCCTTTCTTGCTACATTCTTCCCATTTCTTTTGATCATCGGGTTCACTATGAACTTTTTCCAGCTGTGTTTAATCTGTGCATCTTCTTAGTTCTCTTTAATAATCTCTTGTGTCAACATTATGTGTTCCCGTCCTGCATTTAGTTCTTTAAATATATTAAATGCATTAATTTTTCATTTTACAGTTTATATCTGTAATATCTGCATCATTTGCAAGTCTGATTCTTTGCTTTGCTGTAGTTTATTACTAAGTTCATGTATGTAGGGACTCTTCTTAATGTTCTCATGTTCACAAACATAAATTTCTTCTAAGGATATGAGCTTTAAATTCAGGCCTTTATCTTATCAACTATCCTTGGAAGAAATTCATGTTTGTTTCTACCTAGCACTAAGGTACAATACTGACAGATAATAGAATTCAATACATATATTTTATTTTTTATTTTAAAAATTTTTAAAAACTAACAACAGTGAAGACAAAATCAAAACAACAAGAACAATTCATGACCTCAGAACAAAATTACAGCAATTAAGAATGGTTGCTACATTATATACTGTTATCTTCAATGAAGTTGCTCAGTCCACCAGACATAAGAATGTAAGATTGATCAATCAAAGACAGTAATAGGTAATAAAAAAAAATGGAAATGATGCATACCTGATTTTTACCCCAACACAGTTTTTTACAGGATATTTAAATTTATCTTTGACTATTAAAGTACAAGAAACCAAGGCGATGTTGCAACATCTTACTTTGTGTGACCTGCATTGATTCTGTTGTTTAGCTTATAGCAGGCATCTGGAAATAGCTTTCCATGAATGAATAAATGAATGGAATCACTTTCAAAATATACATTTTAATTTTATATTAAATTTTTGACTTTTCTCTGTTATAATAGAGCTCATCAAAAACACCTACTTGTGCCTCAGTTCTAAATGTCTAGTTCAGAGTTAGTAATTTAAATTCACTCTCCTTGAATCAATTTCTTCAGAGATGAACTGCTGCCTTTAGCCAGAGAGAAAGCACCTCAGCACACAAATATTTTAAGACTCTAAAAAATTTTATTGTTTCTGAAATGTGAAATATTAGCAAATGAGAAGTAGGATAACCATCACCATTCACACTTTTACTCTAATTAGCTATTAATTATGTTTGTCATATTCTAATATATTGAAGAATTAAAGCTATTTTATAATCATTCTTCACTTCATTTTCACTCAAAGTGGAATCTTGAAAGAGCCATTAAAGCACCACTTTAATTTCTTTGCCAGTTTGTTTCCATCATGACTCATATTAAGAAGTTCCCCCAGATCAAGATGCTGTGTTTATGAAAGTTAGACTCCCTTGAGATTGTTTACCTGTTTGAATCTTCCCATCCAAGTGGACTGTCTGCCTCAGCAGGAATTTAGTACCCCCTCACTTTCTCTATGATTATCTAAGTATACTTTGGAAAATGTTTGTTCAGCGTGTACTGTACGGGAAAATCCTAATGACTGTGGTGCGTAGAATGGAGTAAAAGGTTGATACCCTGATCTTCAAAGGCTTCCTCTCTAGAAAAGTAAGAAACAAATTGTTACATAGGTTTGCATCTCCATCTGTGACATAACTTTTCTTAAGTGCTAACACTTATTAAGCTTTATTAGATGCCAAACAACTTCACATTTCAGAGGCACCCAACTTTCTCCAATTTAAGTCCACACCATAATTACAATACTATTAAGAAGGAAAGGGCACTTCTTAAAAAGGACTAACTTAGTCTTGATTGTGAAGAGGGACTCAAAATATCAAAGATGTAAATGAGGGGCAAATATGAAACTTGGAATAGATAAAGGTTGTTAACTCAGTTAATCCTCTTAGTAAGTCTTCAAGTTAAGTAGTTGATTATTCCCAGTTTCCAGGCAAGAAAACTGATGGGTTTGGAGATGTTAGATGACTTGTATAAGACTGCATTGCTAGTAAATAGATGAGCCAACACTCAATTGATTCCACATGTCTTGCTCATAGCTTCTAGACCTGAGAAGCCTTCGATTCTATTTTAGCATGTCTAGGTGTTTCTACATCTATCTTTCATCTTTTTGGTAGCTTAATTTAACATTGAACAAGAATACTAGAACCTCGGGGCTGGGGATTTAGCTCAGCGGCAAAGTGCCTGCCTGGCAAGCGCAAGGTCGTGAGTTTGGTTCCCGGTACTGGAGAAAAAAAAAAGAATACTAGAACCTCTATTAATACTAGAACCTCTATTAATTCTGGACAGCATTTGAGAATGTACTTGTGATGAGAAACAATTTTTACAAAACAAGCTATTTTGAAAATTATTAACCTGAACATTGCTTTAATCAGTAGGTTAGTACATCTTACCCAAAGTGGTAATGAGATAGTTGATTTTTTTCAGTCTGTGAATCTATAACTAACTGTATTACAGATAAATGCAAATGTGATTGTTCTAACAGAATGATGGAAATGGGATATAAATTTAAATTAACTTTTATTATAAATATAGATGTCTGCTATTTCTTTAGAAAGAAAATTAAAAGTGGAAAATATCAGTCAAAGGCTCATTAAAGTTCTCTTTTGGAGATTTTACAAAAAGAAGAAACAACATTTCTGTATAGGATGTTCAAATTAATGTTCAAATTAATGCTAACATTACATGAAACATTGCAAATAATCTTGGTTAAGAGCCAAAATGACTAACGCAGAGTAACAAAATTCATTTCATTTTATGTAACCAGTAGCACAATCTATTTTTAAAAACCTAATGAGTTAAGAAATAACCATGCGTTACATTGTTTCTTCCCTATAAATAATGAATTACATGTAAGAACAAGTGGTACTTAAATATACTCAGGGCCAATTGCATAGTCGTGGATATCAGACTTCATCTGTGGAAATTCAGCAAAACAGAATTAGAAATGTCAAACGGAAAAGATCTCATTAAGATAATTCTTCCAGAAAGGATTCAAAACTTCTATCCCAGATGTTCAAACCTTGTGGTAGTTGAGTCGGACAGAGCTAAAAAATTAAATTTAGGTGTCAGGGACTTAGCAGTGGCATAGCACCTGCCTGGTAAGAGCAAGGTCCTGAGTTCAATTCCCAGTATCAAAAAAAAATTAAATTTATTGTTTTTTTTAAGTATGGTACTACAAACATCATCGTCAAAATATGCAGATTACTGGTGTGTGTGCTAAAACTGCAGATATCTTTTCCCTTTTCCAAGAACTGCTATGTGGGGACCTCTGTGACTACACCCCAAGGATCCATGTTTTATAAAACATCTCCACCACCAGTGATGATGACCATGTTGGATTTGAGAATCACTGGTTTAACACTTGGCTCTTCCCCATCTATTACTTTGGGCTAATGGAAAAAATGAACCAAACACTAGTAATTGTTTTCAACAAATATCAGACATTAAATGCCTTGCTTGCTAGATATTTATGAAGCAGTGCAGAAGAACCCAAAAGAAATGTATTCTGATATATTGCAGTGCTTGTATGACATGTAAGTAACTGTCTAACATGATGCATTGGAAGTAATCCTTTTCGAAGTCTAACCAGAATGCAGGAGAAGGGAATCAAGGTCATCCTGGGTGGATGCAGGAACTCCAGAAGTTATTTCTAGGAAAAAGAAATCAGTAGCATTCAGTTGCAAATTGAATGTAAATGGTAAACAGTAGTGGCAAAGTAGACTACTTTGGGTTTTGCATCTTGGTAGCAAAAAAACAGTGAAGAGCTCAAGGGGATGAATGTAAAAACAATTCTGAAAACAACTAAGAATAGGAAAATGAGTCCAGCATAGCTGGCTCTTTTACCATTACATCTATAAAAATGGTAACTTGAGTTTTGTAACTGAATTTAAATTTACTTATGAATGGATTTGACCAAAGTGTGATCTAATTAGTGATTATTTTTGGTTACAGCAATTGTTCAACTGTCAAGCTCTACGAAAACTCAGTATTCCCGATAATGACCTTTCAAGCCTGCCAACCTCCATTGCTAGTTTAGTTAATCTTAAAGAACTCGACATCAGCAAAAATGGTAAGATTTTCATCTTATCACTAAATGTCTTGACTTTTTTTTCCTCAAAATGTTTTAACTGTTGTAAAATAACTTTTTAGTTATTTGTTGTAAAGTTATTTGTTGTAAAATAACTTTTTCTTCGATTTTGTTCAAACTATGTTAATTTCATCAAAAAATTAAATTATGACTGCAAGACAGGGAACCCCTCTCCTCCTCTTAGAAATATGCCTAACTCAGCCTTAATTTCCCCTGCATTCAGATGTACGATCTACCCTGTCTAGAATATCTCCTGTCTTTACATCACCTGTTTCCCTCATTCTCAAAATATTTCCAACGTATCTTAAATGTTCCCTGCTTGACAAAGGCCACCTGTTCACCTTACCTGAAATTATAGTCTCAGTTTCTCTTAGTGAGATCCACTTTTCCCTAGGACTAACCTCCTGACACTATTGTGTAGTTTATTTATTTATTGGGATTATTGTGTATCTTCTCTTGACCCAGAATGTCAGCTTCATCATGTGACAGGAAGGACTTACTCCAAAAACATCTGAAGCACAGCCTGGTAAATAACCAGGGCTTTTTAGCATTTATTAGATGTTTGGGCCAAACTTATATATCTGGTGATTTGTTGATGCTGATGATGTTGAGATTCACGTTGAAGGTATTTCCTTTGCGTGTTTGTGGGAGGTAAGCTGGGTCTCCAGAGACTCCTGCATCCTCTTTATTGCTTTCCACATGGCCTCAGCTCTGCACTTTATTCAGCCATAGCAAAGATCAGCCAAGAAGGGTTATGTCAGGTCTATGAGTGAAACTTTGTGGATGTGTGTGTGTGTGTGGGTGTGTGTGTGCGTGTAGGGCTGTGGTTACCTCAGTCAGTGCTCTGTGCCAAAGGGACACACATGACCAAAGCAGGCCCCTCTTGCATTCTGAGAAGTGATTCAGGCACTGAAAGATAATCACAGATGATTAAACAGTAGTGGGTAATGATACAGTCAGGGTGAAAGGCATGTATATGAGAAAGATGCAACATATTCTATGTGGTTAGGGAAGATTCCCCAAAAAGTGATGATGAAGCTCAGATAGGATCAGCAGGAGTTAGAAGTTAGGTAAAATTGGCTTGATATTCTAGGTAAATAAAGTTCTGTGGGTTTTGATTTTGTTCCTTTGTTTTTAAGTTCCCTCTTGTTAAAGATCACCAGAAAAATCCCTTCGTCCCAAGTAAATACGGCAGCCCTAGGAAATGCCGCACTGAGTGTCACGACAGTTTCCCTGGGGCCTTGCCCCGTCATTCTGCCAGGAAGTGCCCCGCAGATATTTCCCTTTCCATGCTCTTACCACCGTCCAGACTTACCCACACCTACCCACAGTGCTTCCTCCTTGAAAGTAACGTGCTGCTGTTATCGACTAAAAGGACTTCTTACCCTCGTTTTTATTTTCATATAAGAAACTGACACACCATATGTTTAAATTATTTATTATCTGTACTTACTTTACTAGAATCAAAATTCCGTGATGTTCCAAATTTTTTGTCAGTGTTGCTTTCTCTCCTACTCTATTTCGTTGCCTCAAAGAGTGCACAGACACTTTATAGGGAACTCATGAATATTCACCAGATGAATGGTTGCAACTTACCAGAAAGTTTGCACTGCCTCTGAGAGATAAGACTGACATCCCCACATAATCAGTGATATCATAAAATGCTACCCAATTGAAGTGCTTAATTATATGGCACAAATTACAGCTGTAAGTCCTTAGAGAATGGCCAGATTAATTAAGAATGCTATATTATTAGAAGAGTTCAAGTATAATATATTGTCTGCAGATTTCCTTAAAACACAGTCGCATCTGAATAAAGGAGAGAATGTTGTCTAAAGAAGATAGCAAGATTGTAAACAAGGAACAGAAACACCTATCTGCAGCAACTTAACTTTCCACTCAGTATTTACAAGATAATCCTAGAAGGACCACATTCAGATATCAACAGAGAATAGCAATTACACTTAAATCTACTTAACGATGACATCAGGTCTACCATTCTTTAAGGATAGATTTGCAGGGTATGTTTTTATGTGGATTTGTATTTGTATGCATGTATAATTACTGCTCCTCATATATTCATTTACATTCATACAGCAAATTCTACATGGAAATTATAATTTATAAGAAATAGCATATGACTAAATACCACCTCCCTTACCTTCAGATAGGTTTAGCTAAAAAGTCCAAGTAAATAAAAAATTGTTTTTAAAGAGGCTCAGAAAACAATGTTTCACTAAATGTAAATGTATAGCTCCTAAGGATTATGATATTTTGGAGATCATATAATAATACCTGGTGGCCCTATTATGTTGAGAAATCTTTGCTTCCAGGATGTGAAACATGTTACAAGTCATCTCAGAAATAAATCTGTGAAATTATTATTTAGTGGTTTTTAGCTTTTAATATGATTTTCCATATTCTGCAAATATGTATACAAAAAGCAATACAAGAAATGGTGAAACACACTGCAACTCTAGTACAGCCCTAAAGGCTTGATGAGTAGGTTGATATACCGGGCATTGCTAGAAATTGCACATCTACCAAAAGATCTCATCATGTCAGCCCTTTCAGAAAATTAGACCTGAAAGAGCTGTCACAGAATTCTGTGACGGAGACCTGAGCAGTAACTTAACAAGCATGATCCATCTTCTGAGAATCTGTCAAGAGAAAAAAGAACAGATAACAGAAAATAGCAGCAGCAGCAGCAGCTGCACTGACAAGGTTGGGTTAGTCTTGGTTGAAGAGAGGCAAGACCGGACAACGCAAGTAGTATCCGTGTAATGAGAGAACATAGCATGCTTGGCTTAGGACAGAGACTCATGTGATTACTAGACAACTTAAGTAAACACTGACTGAAATGTGCTTGTATTAGCAGGATGACCTCTTAATAAACTAATTTTGTGGAATGGCTGAGGTTAAATCTGATCTTGGTTTTGCAGACAGCCTCCGTTCTTTACTTTGCAAGTCCAGTTCTTCCACTTGCCGCCCATTCCCCACTTTTCTCCGTATCATTTAAAATACTGTTTAATATTGAAACCTTAGGAAGGTTACTAATACAGCTTCATGTAATGAGTGAGCTCTCGTGTTCAGGAAGGCGTCTGCACAATTTAAGGGATGGCTGTCATCTAAAGCTTTCACTGTTTCTCCAGTTGGCCATCTGCTTTCCATTTCATCGTCAGGCAACGCCAAGGAGCCATTCCCAAAGGCTTCAGACTGATCCCCTCTTCCCCGGAATATGCCTTCCCCCGCTACGGCACAGCACCACCTGGACACAGTCCTCTTCACCTTTAAAAAAAGAGATTTCCTTTATGAAATGAATGAAACGAACTTATCAGTTACTTATGAGAAGGAAATATCATTTATTCTGGGAAACTTCTCTGACACCTACACAAAAAAATTAATGTTTTTTCCTTCCCTTGTGTTTCTTTTTGCTTTGATTTTGGTTTTGAATTTATCTCACTTTTAATTTCTCTGTGTGTGACTAGGCTGTGAGACTGTTGAAATCAGGTGCTATCGCAATCATTTCTCCGTGCAGAACTAGTGCACAATGGTCAGGGTACATGGCAGTTGTCCAGTGACTGGTTGGTAGGTAAATAGTATTGCATAGAAGCATCCTTTTAAAAATTATACTGGTATTTGTATTATAATACACTAGAGACCCCACAGAAGGTAGGGTGCTCATCTGTCACACTGCAGACCATCTAAATCCTTGACAAGAATGCTGGAAAAGATGGAAACAGCACCGCAATGAGTAATGAGTAACCAATAAAATGATCTCTAATCTGCCCCAGAGTAGTGTATTTAGCACCTTTGTTCTTTGAGATGATGAATATTCATGTCAAGCTTTGACCCCTCTGTTTAGCTCCAGAGTCACATCGCCCCACAAACATATTTACACCCAAACTCATCACCCACCCAAACCAATTCCCTTCCAATTCTAGTTCTCTGTTAAGGTCACTGTGATCTTCATGGTGTTCAATACAAAAATTCTTTTCTCTTCCAACTCCCATAGCCATTCAGTCACCGATACTCGCCAGAGTGACTCCCTACTGTATCACAAGTCCATTTCTTCATACCTCTTCCATGGTTATAGTCTTAATTGCAGTCCCTTTATTTTTCATCTACTACTTAAACAGCATTCTAATTGTTCTCACTCTCTCCATTACTGCTCCCACCATTCCCAAACCCCTCCTCTACAAGATAGCTTCCATGCACTTTCCAGCTTGCCGATATGACCCTGTGATTTTCCGAATTAAGGTACTTGAGTTGGCCTGGGATAGAATGTTGGCTCCTTGACTTACCTCCCAAAATCTCCACCTGACCACTACCAGCGCTTCTATTCTAACAGCAATCCCATTAAGAATGATTGATCTTTTTGAAAACTTAGGGTTTTGATACCGAAAAGCTTCCTCCAGTATACAATGCTGCTTTGTGACCTGTTTTACTCTACTTGTACTATTTCCTCTGCCTAAATCTCCTGTCACACCTTTTGGCATCTGGTTCAAGCATCCTGTATTTAATATCAGGTTCAAATGTCTATTTCCATGAAGCTTCTGCACTCTCAGACTAAGTCAGCAGTCCGACCTTGCATAGGAGTTCTAATATTCATCATTACATTGAAAACATGTAATACTTATTCATATTAAAATATGTGCGGTTTTAATGTTTAACCTATTAATATTTTAAGCCTGAAGAAATAATACAGACACCAACCTGCCTACACTGGAGATAAAAGTGTTAACATATTATAGGTGTCTACTCTTTTTTAAATAAGTGAGGCATTACAGAAACTTAAAATACTTATACTCACCCCTTCCTGTTTTCTCTTTCTCTCCCTCAGTGTGTTTAAAGTTTCAGGGAAGTGCTAACACATTACATAGATTATTCTCCAATTTTTTCACTCACGGTGTCCTTCTGAAATTCATCCTTATTAATCAATTTAGATCTAGTTGTATCAGCAGAAATACCAAAGTTCCCAT